CAGGGGCCCCAAAGAACACCACTCTGTTCATGCCCTGGGGTGCTGGGTTATACATTTGGGGTTTGTGGGTTAAAACCAATTGTTTGTCTGTATAATCGTACTTATTGTATTATTTTATTAAATTGTTATTCTGACTTATAATCTCTCTTTTGAGTTGAGTTCATTTCCCCTGCTGGTTTACCTTTAAACCAGCACAACTGTCAACTCTCATCTTCTATAATCTCAAATAAGAAGGCTGAAAGAGAAACGGAATGGAAGCTTTCTTAAAGGCCAGCAGAGAGTACATGGAACCGCAAGCTTTTCTGTTCCACTGGCTGTCTTGCACACCCTTTCGAGTGAAAAGGAACCGCATGAATGGAGCCTCACTTCTTCCATCTTCTACAATGTTGAGTACTACTCAGCAGTTTCATGAGGAGTTTCATGGTAAATAAATGGATAAACAAGACTCCATTCTTGTAATCAACCCCAAAAAATATTTTCAGGTCCCTTTACATAAAGAAGTGGCCACAACAAGAGAAGAACTACAGATTTTTTTTGTAATTCTATGAAGATATTTAGGCCTTAGCACTGAGAAAATATGTTTTATTTTTACAGTATGGAAAAATGGCTTTGCTCTGATTACGGATAAGACATGTTCCAAAATTCTCCTACATAGTCCTACCACCATACATACCGGATTCCTCACTATAGTTTGGGAATAAGCCAGCATGAGCATCTCATATTTGGGAGTCACTGCCTAAGCAGATCCTCTACCACAGAATACTCTGGGATGGGTCTGCCTCAGTCTTTCCTGCTAAGGCAGTCATGCTCACCTGAAATAACAGCAGATGAAGAACTAAGGTGTTCCCTAAAAACCTTGATATCCAGGATTTTTTCTAGCTTACTGAATATTTATTATACAGAAAGAAATGGTTCAAGCTCTTGTAACATGGTTCTCAGGACACAGAATTTCAAAGCTCCCCTTCCAAGCATAACAGAGGAGGCACTGAAATTTGGGTCTTAGAAGTCCAGGTTTTCTAATCTACTGTCTTTCTTGATATAAACTGCCTCACCTCTGTGAGGCAAATCACTCTTGTCAATCTAGTCCTTTGCTTCCAGATTTCCAGTGTTTATAGACACAAGCAAAACCTGAGCAATTCAAGTTAAAAACCCAAACATTCTGTTCAACCCAAAATCAGTGTTTTTGACTCATACATACCAATCAGAAAATTTTTTGTCTATCCATTAAGCCAAAAGGAAATACAGGTGCTTTCAGAATTACTGGTTTCTTATGAACGCAAACCTTGGAGTCCAAGTACAGCACAGAGCCATCATAAATTACCGCAAGTCAACTGTTTTAAATAGCATGAAGAGCCCAGGACTCTGCCTTGCTGAAGACCCAGTAAGTGAAAAATTATTTTGAAGCTGAAGTCTTCAAACCCAATTCACTCTGCCCTTTGCTTCTGATAGGCAAGTAAATGCAGATACACACAACATCCCCTGCCCCTTCAGAGCAAAGTCCAAGTACCAAAATTGCCTTCTGCAAACACATACAGCAATGCTCTGCATGAGGTTTGGGCATATAGAGTTTGTTGTCTACAGGCCAGCAACAGAGAGTTTCAGGGACCAGTTGTACACTTTGATCCTTTTGATGTGAAAACTTCTACGTAACAGTAGTCAGGAGAATTCTTGCAGGGCACTGCATTCTCCTTTTGTGAGCTTAGTCCTGAACAATGTATTTGTGCAATGACTCAGAGGAAGGCACTGCCTCTTGAATGTAAAGCCTGCACTAGACCAATGGTCTCCTCAGTTCTACCCCTGACATCTGGGGCCATCCTCCAACGCCTTCTGGCACTGTGGCATTTGGAAGTTCAATAACCTTTGAGTGACTGGTTGAACATTCAGAGCTGGTAAAGGAAACAGTCAAACTTTCAATACACAAAGTCATTCTATAAAGGGAGCTCATAAGGGAGGGAACCAGCTACTGCAAGAGAATTCCAATAACAGAGGCTACCACAAAATTCCTGTTTAATATGAAACCAGTCATGCTGACAGAAGTAGACTGGGCATTGTACACTGGATTTATTCTGGGCCTGCATTTTGTCAGTCTCAGAAGTAGCCCAGTGTGACAGGATGCTGAAATCACTGAGTTAAAATCAGGCAAGTCACACCTCTCACACTGCTCAGTGTGTGCATAGGAACAGCCACATGGAGTCAGACTAGAAGCCTGGCCAATCCATTACACTTTCTCCAACAGCATTCATATAGGTAGAGCACAATAGTATTATTAGCCCTTTTTATAAAATAAACCCTACTGCTGCCATGCTTAAAATTATCTAACTCAATGTTGAAGCAATACTGCACAGCCGTTTTTGATCTTCCTCAGCTCTGGTCTACAGCTAGAAGATCGAGCAAGGGCCAAATCTAAATTGAAGAGTCTTCTGATTGCTTAGTTTCCTCAGATGAACACAGAGGTAGGTGGGAGTCACAGCTCTGAGAGAGAAAAAGAGGGGAGAAGCTGGACCACAGATCATCCTGTCCTGGATTGCCACAAACACAATCACGAAACAAGCTGGTTTAGCTTCCCTGTGACCTGTCGGCTTTCACACTCCGTCTGCCCTGTACTCAGATCCTTTGCTGAGTTATTTCAGCATATTAATTTGCCAGAAAACCTGACTAAAGATTTCCCCTTCTTAACTGACTTCACAGACTGAAATAGCTCAGTTAAGAATCTGTAAATGCCACTGTCAGAGGAGTTCAGACTCCAGTGAAACTTCAACCAATTTGCTAAGAGGGTATCAGCAAAGCACACTATACTCCCAATAAAGCTGCCACTTCTAAACCAAGAAGTCAAAGCACAACCAAGAGAAAAAGAAGGAAGCCTTATGTATACAGCCCACACAGCAAGAGTCACTCAACAGAGTTATAAGTTACTTCATTATATTTTGTTCCCACACAGAACATTTCACGATATGCCTCCAAACAAATTTGGAGCAGCACAAATTTAACACAGTGTCTCCCATATCATACCTCTGGCAGCCTTAACTCTTGCCCTTGAAATCTGACCTAGCCTGCCCTGTGCCTGTTTATGAGTTAAGAGTTTGCATAAGACAACTGCTTACATTTTATCATCTTTTTACACAGTTGAAAAGAATACTAAAAAAAACCCTCAACCTAACAGTAGGAACACTGAAATCACCTAGCTGATTCAAGAACTAGAAGTGATGCTCTTGTGCTTCTGAAGAGGAATTTCAAAACTAAAATACCTGGAGCCTCAGCATTTGGTCACATTGCAACTTGCCTTACTGGGTTTTAAAGCAACCAAATTTTGCCTCTGCGTTTAAGCAGGTATTATAGCAGAGAAACAGCAAAACACTATGTGCCCTTGAACTTTCATTTAATTCACTTCTGAAATGCGACGTGGCACTACTGCAGCGATCAGCAGACGGTCTAACGTTATGTAAACAATTTCAAAAGCCAGATGGATATAGAATAGATTAAGTGCTAGTTTGGAAGAAGTTTGCAGCTCCACTATGTAAGAAAGAACTACAAAATATACACAGATTTTTAGAAGCTGGATGTTTTAGGTTAGCACTAGCACGTTTTTACAAGAAGCCTCTATACATCAAGTCATCTTATTGCCTCTGTTGACAGCAGACAACAAGGAGTCGACAGACATCAGAAATGTTAAGAGTCACCAAATGATTCTCTAAGTAAGTTGTGAAGTTGTTCATTCCACCATGAAAACTTGTTAGTCCCGTCTGCCAGGATACTAGGGACATAAACTGTGTATTACCCAGCAGTTTTTACTCCTCTCGCAGCATAAAAAAGTTAATGTAAAAAGAAAATAATCACATTCTCCCTTCACACACACCCTTGCTCCTCACACACCAACTGCAAGGCGTAAGACCTAAAAAAAAGCCTTTAATAAATCAGTTTAAAAGTGACTGCCTAGCGCACAGAATGACTACGTGTTATTTTTCAGTCAAAATAATCAAGCTAGATCATGAATTTTCACCAGTCTACTGCGAAACCCATGAAAGGTTTATAAAAATAATTATGTGCAAATAATTATATTAAATATGATTATCCATCATTAACCATCTTCCAACTGCAGGTCAACAAGTGCTAGTTTGTCATGAAGTGATCAGGTATCAAGTTCTGCTCTTTTTGCAGAGCTAGGCACTTCAGTGTGATATTTATGTCATGCGAGCTCCTGACTTCTGGCTGTCAGCACCAACATTGGATCATAGTTCACCTCCAGATACCTACAGATTGCTTTGATGAGCAGTTACATTCTTCAAAAAGGCAGAGCTCATTGACATAAAGCACCTCGGTGGTGGTGTACTTCACCAGGAACCCAACCCTGTGCAGTTTCATTGAACTGAAAGCCACTTGTTCTTTAACTTTTATTAAGTTCACTTAGGTTGACCAAATGAGCTTCCCTAAAGTAAACAGGGTTATAAAATATCAGGATGATTCTATCTTTAGGTGCTCCATAGAAACAAATACTTAGTTCAACTAGAAAACTTTAAAAATGACTTTAGATACAAAAGTGTAACAATTATACTGCGCAATACATCTTTATATATCACTAAGCCCATGAAATTATAATTAAAAAAAAGTTTTTGCACCATCAAGAACAGCCACAAGTCCTGAACCTCCATTCTTTATGCATCCTTTATCAGAATAAACTGAAACTTGGGAATGCTTGGGATTCAAAATACCCTGAGCACATACTAGTGCAACACCACAAAGCATACATAATCCATCAGAAATGGGGAAGGGAGGGAGAAGGGAAAAAATAGCAAGAATTCAGATGGTGCTTTATTATACAAGCATGAAAGTAAGTTCCTTTGGAAAATAACTTCTTGGGTGGACTTCTGGACCAGTGAGGTAGCCCAATGGGAGAGAAAAAAAGTGGAAGTGGAACTTGGTCCCCATGCGTGATACCTGCCAGACGGTCCCAGCCCGGGGCGAGGCTGGGGCCCGGCAGGCCGCCCCCCATACGGCGGGGGGCCCGGCAGGCCGCCCCCCATACGGCGGGGGGCCCGGCGCCGCCCGAGCGGGCCATAAAGTGCTGCAGCAGAACACGATCCAGACAAAAGCAATGTAAACAGGTGACTGATACCGGTCTCTTTGTCCGCACCGCGGCCCAGGTAAGGCGCGGGGAGCGGGGCCCCCGCGGGCTCAGGACGGCGCCACGGGGAAGCGGCGCACCCGCACCACGGGGGACAGGTCCACGCCGAGGATCCGCTGCGCCCGCCGCCGCACCGCCGCCAGGCTCCGCCGGCTCCACACGCTGCCCCGCACACGGATGGTGGGGAACGTGGTGAGGCGGGGGGTGGCCGCCTTCCAAATCTCCTCCAGCGATCTGCCGCCGAACGGCTCCCAGGCGGCCGCCGCCGGGCTGCCCCGCTCCCTGTCCGCCTGCTCGCCCGGCGGCTCCGGCGCCTCCGCCTCCTCCTCCTGCCCCGCTGCGCGGGGGCCACCGACCGCCGAGCGCTGCCTGCCCCGCTCCCTCCTGCGGCGCCGCCGCCGCCGCCGCCGCTTGGCGCTGCCGCCCGCCGCCCCGGCCCGGCGCTTGGCGTCGGCGGCCGGGAGGCGCCGCTTGCCGGCGCGGCGGCGGGGCCGCTCCGAGGGCGGTGGCGGGTCGGGGACGACGGCGCGGCAGGAGGAGTATCCGTAGACGTCCTTGCTGCGGAGGATGACCGGGGAGAACTCGTGCTTGAGGCTGCAGAGGAAGTTCCACAGCTCCGAGTCCGAGCTCATAAACTCAGTGGACTTGGGCATGAAGAGCTTGAGGGCGTCGCCCAGCGCCTTGGTGCCAGCGAAGGAGACCTGCGAGCGCGAGTACACAACTTTCTCCGCTTCCCCCTCCAGCCCCCAGGCGGCGGCCGCCGTTTCGCCGCCAGCTGCCCCTGCCGCCGCCGCCGCCGCCGCCGACCGGGCTCCCGCCGCCGCCGCCGCGGCGCTCCCCGCCTCTGGGTTCATCTTCCCGGCTCCTCTCTCCAGTGCCGCCTGCTTCCTATTGCGGGTCATGGAGGCAGAGGGACGGGGTGGCGGGACAGACGCCGAGAAGGCAGCGCGGACGCAGCGCCGAGAGCACGCTCCGGCCGCCGCCGGGCGCCCGCCGGGTGTGAGCGACGATCGATGTCCTGCGCCCAGCACAAAATGGCGCTTTAAAGTCCCGGGCGGGGCCTGCGCGCGCCCGCCCCCCCCGCGCCGCCCGTTGGCCCGTTCGAAACGCGTCGGGCGGGCCCGGCCCCGCCCCGTCGGGGGCGGTGGCCGCGGGGGGCGGCGGGGGGGCCCCGGAGCCTCGGGCCCCCACAGCGGAGGTACCGCGGGGCTCGGCCACCCCGGACCTCAGCGCGACGCCGAGCCCCGAGCGGAGGTACCGCGGGGCTCGGCCACCCCGGACCTCAGCGCGACGCCGAGCCCCGAGACCCCCATCCCCGGTAGGGTGTCCCAGCTGGCGGCCCCTTCCCGCAGAGGAAGGGCGTGACGGTCCCGCGTGGCGGGGCGAGCTCTGAGCCGTGTGCCGGCGTCGCGCCTCGCTTCGAGGGTGAGCATCCTCACAGGGAGGTCGACGAAGGTGGTTTGGTGACTGAAATATGTTTGAGTAAGGGTCTGGTTGGACACTTTGATGGGCAAGCTCCCTGGAGGAGGAACCATGAATATACTGAGTGAAATGACAAAAATAGGTCGACAGACGTGATACAGTGAAGTCCTTCACATGATATTAAATACATCCATCCTGTTGCAGTGGGTTTTTTTTAACATGAACCTGTAGGCCGGTCAGTCAACAATATCATAAGTCACAGAATCACAGAACAGTGAAGCTTGGAAGGAACCTCTGGAGGTACCTGGTCCAACCTTCCTGCTCAAGCAGGGCCACCTAAAGCAGGTTATCCAGGATCATGTCTAGATGGCTTTTGAACATCTCCAAGGATGGAGACTCCTCTCTCTGATGACGACTGATAGGACTTGAGAAATCGGAATGAAGCTGCATCAGGGGAAGTTCAGATTTGACATCAAGAAAAAGTTCTCTGAGAGGGTAATTGGTCACTGGAACAGGCTCCCCAGCAAAACGATCACAGCACCAACCCTGTCAGAGTTCAAGGAACATCTCAGTCATAGTCTTTCTCATATGGTTTAGTTTTAGGTATTCCTGTGAGGAGCAGAGAGTTGGACTCTGATCTTTGTGGGTGCTTTCAATCTCTCTGGGCAACCTGTGCCAGGGCTCGGTCACCCTCACAGTAAAAAGGTGTTTCCTGATGCTTGGAAGGAACCTTCTGTGTTTTGGTTTGTGCCCATTGCCTCTGGTCCTGTCACTGGGCACCATAAGAAGAGTCCAGCTCTACTCTCTCTGCTCCTTCCCTTCAGGTATCTGTGTACACTGATGAGATTCCCCGAGCCTTCTCTTCTCCAGGCTGAACAGTCCCAGCTCGCTCAGCCTTTCCTCACAGGAGAGATACTCCAGCCTCTTCATCATCTTTGCAGCCCTTTGTTGGACTCTCTCCGGTGTGTCTATGTTTCTCTTGTACCGAGAAACCCAGAACTGGACTCCAGGTGTGGCCTCACCAGCACTGAATAAAGTGGAAAGATCACCTCCCTCAAGCTGCGAGCAATACTTTGCGTAATGCAGCCCAGGATACTTTTCCCCTTCTTCGTGGCAAGGGCACATTGCTTGCTCATGTTCAACCTGGTGTCCACCAAGACCCCCAGGTCCTTTTCTCCCAAGCTGCTTTCTGTCAAGACTGAAATATTTACACCATCAGTGGAATTGGCTTGATATCCCAACAATGCGTGTCCCAAATGAAGCAGTAAAAACTTGCACTGGTTGAGCCCTCTGAGAGTCACCACCTCTCTGAATCCACATCAGCATTTCTTCCTGCACAGGACTGCTACAATTGCACAATTTTGTCAGCTGTTGTGAAATCCCATGATCCTCTAGATCATGCTGTCCAATACTTCAGAGATTGCTGTCATAAGGAGAGTGTCCTGTTAGGTTCTTGGATTGTTGCAATTAAACCAGAGCTCTTTCCAGCACCCAGAACAGCAAGGTGTCAGGAAGGACAGCGATGGTTTAACCTTTCACTACAGATCCTGCTGGGGGTTTGATTAGACCCCTAACTAATTACTTTCTCTCAGCATTGGTAAAGGGTGAGGAATAACATTTTTCTTCATAGACAGTCTTTGTTCTGTAATTAATCTTTCAGTTTAGGATAGGGAAATCTTTTATTCTCAACTCATCAAGAACTTAAATTGGAATGTCTAGAAATCCAGTCAAGTCGGAGGCAGAAATTCTGCGTAAGAAATTATTCCTTATTGCCAGTGGAAATAATTAATTTTCTTCACAGTATAATTCAACCTGTGTTCATGGGAAACTCAAGAATATTAATCCAAATAACCATTTAGAGTGGATATTAACAAAGATATTTTAAATCTTCATGAGGACAATCTCGAGGTATAGCCATGTTCTAAATCAGCTTTATAAATGACCTATTTTTTAAAAGGAAACCTTTTCCAAAATGACGGTGTTAGTGCCATTTTTAATCAGATTCATTTCACAGCATCCTGTGCTGTAAAGCACAGTCATGTAGCCAGATTGGTTTAACTGAGGGAGATGTCCTATGAAGCAGAGAAAGCCCCGAGCTGAAAGCGTTAGGGACAGGCATCTCTTGATCCAGCGATGCTGCTGTTAGTCACACTCTGGTGTATGAGGGTTGCAGCCACGAGGTCACCACAGCTTAGCAAGTGGCTCATCACTTGGACCACAAGAGCTGACCTGTGCTCACATTCTCAGTGGCAGGAGCTATCAAACTATCCAATTCAGCAGCTCACCTGACAAGAGGGCTCTCGTTAAACTGCAGAAATCCAGTTGCCCATTGGCCATAACCTTTTTTCCAGAAATCACAAACATTTCTGGCATATGACTCAAAAATCATGGAGACAGAGACAGGGATTTTTCAGCAAGCAGTAAATGAGTCACTATAACTATAAGTGAAAAGAGAGATCAGCACATTTTTGTCTTATCAGAATTTATTCATTATTTGGATTTTTTTGCTTCCAGGATGGACAATACCATTTTAAGGCATGGGATATAATCTCACTTTTACAACTTCATTATGAGTTTTCTGCAGCGTAACACTCTCGTTTTTATACCCTACAAAGTCAACTCAAGAAAATCCACAGTAATTGGCTGTCTTTTAGTAATTTCCAATAGCTCAGTACAGTAATAACGATGATAATAAAATTAATAATCCTTTGGAAGTGTATAGCTCTTCATTTCAATCATACTACATCTTATAAGCATTAATTATCACTCACAGTACTCATGAGTTATATAAGTAAATATTGCCTTTCCTTAATAGATGAGTAAAATGAAAAAGTGGATCAAAATGGCTTGACTAAGATGTGTAGACTCGATTACTTAATTTTCTGTAGATCTTCTAACAATCATTATTCTAAAAATACAGGAAATGTCTACATTGGAACAGAGAGGAGTAAAAAAAAACCCTGTAATCTTTGTTCTCAATTATTTGTTAGAATTTCTTTTCTTTATAGAATTCTTGAGAATGACGAGTGAAGTAGCAATTGAGATATTGGTACATTAATTGCTACACAACAAGGACACTTTACTTTTTTTAAAAATTCCTTTCTAGTACCACAAAAACTCACAGGTAACTGACAATTATTTTAAATGCTAACAATCTTATGATCCCACCATTTTGAGTCCTGTTGATGAATCCTAAAATTCTGGATATTAAGTCGCACCACTTATGCTGCTGGGACTTTTCCTCCAGCATACTTATGCTCTTCTACCCAGATCAGTAAGAACAGGCTTACTGTCCAATGTCTTTTCCTAATATCTTTACCTCTGCTGTTGAGAGGTTGCATTAACTGGCAGCCTGCTTCAGTTAATTTGATTCCTAAATGTCTTTAGCATACTTTCAGGAAAGTTTGCATGGCAGTGCAAACATGACTCCACATCCATTAGCAACTAAACTTCAGATGTTACCCAGTAGTCATCAGGTTCCTGTGTCTGAGAAGTGCTCAGACAAGCACTGGCAAAATTCCTGAAAATACTTTAAAAAACAGACAAAAGCAAATAATTTACAAGAATATAGTTTCTCAAGCAGTTATTTGAGGAAAAAAATGCAGAATCACTGTGTGTAGAAATCACAGCTGCAGTCAAAAAGGGAAATAGGGTGTTAGGAATCACTGTGGAAGGGATAGAAAGCAAAACAGAAGAGAGCATTCTGCTGAATGCAAGTCCATTGTGCCTCCAGGAATCTTGAATACCGTGCATTTCTAGTCTTACCATCTCTAAATGAATATAGCAATGATACAAAGAAGGGCAACTGGGATGAGTAAAAATATGGAACAGCTTCTCTATGAGAAGCGATTAAATAGGCTAAGACTCTTCAGCTTGAAAAAAACAGATGGCTGAGGATGAATATGATAAAGGTTTATAAAACTGTGATAGTACAAAGAAGGCAGATAAGAAATTATTATGTCTTAGTTTTCATAATCTAAGAATGACAGAGAAGCAGATGAAGCTATAAAGCAGAAAACTAAATGACCAAAAAGACATGCTTTTTTTTTTTTTTTCTGATGAATCATAATTCCTCTGTGGAACTCATTTTCCAGCGAAGTTGTGGGTCCCAAAATGGAAAAATGTACCCTAGTACATTTACAGGCATTACAGAGCACACCATTCAAAATGATTAGACATGACTGGAAGAAAAAAAATCCACCAATAACTGTTGCACATGAAAACCTTGGGCTCAGAAAGGGCATAAGCCAAGGTCTAGGAAAGGAAGGAAGAATATATCTAGGGAAGTAATTCTCGATGTTTGCAATATTCTCACATATTTTCCCTAACCTTCCTCTTCTGGCCTCTAACAGACACGGAAGCTGGACTCGGTGGACCCTGGAACTGGGCATCAAAGCCGGTTGTACTCTATGGACCTGTTAGAATACGGAAGAGGGCATCCACATCAATTAAATATAGTATTTCTCTCCCAGAGCTTTACTGTTTCATCAGCTTGCAGCAACTAAAGAACATATTCTTGAGATAAAAAGTAACAAAGCATTTGCAGAGAAAGAAATGCAGAGGTTACAAAATCCACCAGCAGCCAAGAACCACACTCTGGCAGGGGCACAGCAAGGACTGAGCCTGAGGTAAAGTGTATTCCACTGGCTCTGATCATTACATACTCATTATTCACATTGTCCATTGCTTCAATACAATTTCAAAATAGTCTTTCAAAATGATGACTGGCTACATCAGAGGGGAAGAAAGGATTTTTTTTAAATAAGCTTTTATTTTAATAGCATTCATTGTCAGTAATGTTTGAAAGAAGAAAACTTCTCTAACATATTTTAGCAGAAGACTTTGGTACATTCAAAAAAACCCCGAAGGAAAAGTAAAAATAAAAATACACAAAGAAGCATGCGTTGTGATACAGAGAGCACTGCTGGAAGATATTTCAGCAGAGGCTGTTTAACATTTAACTTTTTTCACATTCTGGGAAGTTATCTGTATGTGATGCACATAAATATACAAACTCTGCATCACTTGTCTTGTCATTGCCTGCCCTACAACTGAAAAATGCTGATAATAGCTGTGTCTGTGGTCACTACAGTCTTGAGGGTCAGTAATGGTCTCTTGGTCTAAAACATTAAGAAGCCCTTGGGTTTTACATCCAATGTGAAAACTTTTCTCGCTAATCCTGTTTTTATTTCATCTTATTTTTCTCTTATGCCTTTCAGTCCATCTAAGCCTTCTGTTTTACCTCTCCTGTTGGCTTTGATCGTATTATTACCAAATGTTCTATCTTTTCTACTCCTAGAGTAGTTCACGGGATGTTAACGTTACTGTAGACAAAGTAACACTAACCACTGTGCCATCTTTGGAAAGTCAGTGCAAAAGAGACATGCTGAGACATACATTGTATTGTCTTCACCAAGTAAGTTGGTAAGGTGAGTAATCAAATAGTGGAACGTGGTGTATGTAGAGAATGCAGGTTTTGGAAACTGAATATGCTAGACTAAGGGGGAAAAGCCCCCCCCCCCCATTCTGATTATACAATAAATGCTTCCACAGATTAGATTATTTCACAATACCTATTCCAATTTCTTTTGTGTTCTTACCTATTTCATTCTAGGACAGCTTCCAAATAAAGCTTCAGAAGGAGGACTGAGCTCTGCACTCCTCAGGCTGCTGGGAGTGCCTGGAGCCTTTCACTGGAGCGAGAGCAGTGGGAGGTGGTCTCCTAGCCTGCAGGAGACGGGCCATTGTTGAGAAACTGTCACCATGAGAAGATGTCACCAGGGTGTGCAGCAACACAAGAAAAAATGTTTTTAAGGGAGATTGTACATTCGACCAGATTACACAGAGAGGTGTTCAGAAACCTACTGTACACAGTCCGGGCAGCCTCCTTTTTCTGACCCTGCTCTGAACAGTGGCGTTGGAGAAGATGATTGCAGGTGTCCCGGCAAACCTCCACAATACTGTGAATCTATGGTTCCATTGACAGAAAAGGCAAAGCCTTTTTTTCCCTTTTTCTTCTTTTTCTTTTCATCTTCTTTTTTAAAATTCTGGTTTCTGCTGGTATAATTTCTGCTGGAACATTCTCCTTCCATTTCTTCAGTTACTTTCTGTCTAAAATATGTTCCTTACTGTAGATCCTTCAAATGATAATCCTCATTTATAAAACAGAAATATAATCTCGACTACTTTCCAATATGGGACCAAGTGGTGTGTTTTCAGTATTATCAAAGGTGTAAAATGTGTCAGTCTAGTACTGCTTTCTGAATATAATTCCAGCATAAGAAATATGTTGCTCAAGAACATGGTTCTCACACATCACAGACCATGTCATCTTGGAATATTGATCACACTGTTTCCTGAGGCACCCTATTTAAAGTACCGTCACTGTTAAAACAAATGTGAATTTCATTCACTTGTCTCAAACCAGACATTTTTTAAAGCCTACTAGCAATTATTTAATAACCTTATTAATTAAATCTTATTTCTTGATACCGTGTGGCTGAGCACGTCAGCTCAGGAATTCTTTTCATGATACCCTCCAGCCTGTGCTGCCGTTTTCCTTCCTACCAGATGAGCTGACAGGACAAATTCACTCCAGAACAGAGGGAGCCGCAATTGATTTTTTTTGTTGTTTAACTTGCCACAGGATACAATGCAATGTTTATACTGGATTTATGTTTTATGCTGGCCTAGGGAGGACACAATACATGATCCAGCATAAAGTCCATGGAGAGAAGATACCCTCCAAAATGCTTTGAGTGAATTAGAGCAAGGGAGTTGATACTAGCTCGGCTTTGTATGTCATATGGATGTAGCTTTATTAAATAGATACTTACAGCAGCTTTACTGTGTCACCGGACCACGTCTTAGTCAGGCTCGCTCTTATTTGTTCTCTTTGTCCAAATGAATCCTGCAAACCCTGCTGCCCGCTGTGTTTGTTTTAATGGAAAGTGACAGAAACCGGTCTTTTTTTCAGGTCGCCTCTGGCACTTTCACAGGGCAGAGAAAGTAAGCTTCAGACACTTTAGGTGAAAAAGGGTCTTGATCTCTCTGTTTCAGTGAAAGTTGTAAGCAGTCAGTTATCATGTAGATGTTCGCTGTTAGCATTAACACCTCCTTTTGAATCTCTCTTTTGTTCTCCAAGTTAGGCATGGGCTTCAAAAGCCCGGAAGGCTTATCTCCGACCTGCTCCCTTGCTCCTGCCAAGGGCCCCGTGTCCCCGCCGCAGACGGGCAGGGGCCTTCAGTGGCCCCTGTTTGCAGCGCTGGGAGCCGGCATGGGAGACCTGGCGTAGGGAACGCAGAGGTGCCACGTCACCTCACTTGAGCTGAATTCCTTTACTAAACTGTTATCTTGCCCCGACTTACACCTGCTAGAATTCCACCCACATTACTTTTAGTTGTATCATTTTCTATTCCTTAAAAGTATTTTTAATGTTATTCAATGCAGATCCAGTTCAAACCCCTCAACTGTGACTTATAAAAATTTCCCAAAATATTCTAATAATTTATAGTTCTGTAACACTTGGTTGATAGCATTCTTTATAATCCTTTTAAAATTCGTGTGATTTCATGTCAGCACATAATAAATATCAAAACTGGATAATGTGAACACAGTAATTATTTTGACCATTTTTTAATAACATTTTTACGAAGAAAGAATAAAAATAGAATTATAATACCTTGAGAACTGGGGTTTTAGATTTTCAAATGAAAGAACAGATTCTCTATAGCTGTAGATATCCTTCATTTCAATACAGGCACAGTGACTGCTACTACCTGAGGTTCTGACCTTACACATGATCTGCATTATTATAAAGGTTCTCTACAAAAAGGGCAGGTTCATTCATACTCGTGAACCTGAAATGGCTCCAGGTGGATAAGTAGCTCCTTTACCAGTATTTTAAAATTATCTTTAAGAAATACAGTGAATTTCTTAATGTCTTTGTTCTCACAGAGATATATATGAGTGTTATTAACCAGCGATTGCATAAAATATTTTCCAAAATATACAAGTGCCCCAAACTTTAACTGTAAAGTGAAAAAGTGAGTTAACAAATTGTGTATATTTGATTCCCACTCCCTTCAGCTACCTTTGGAAGGCTCCTCCAAATAAGAAATGGTAGTTGTTTAATCTTTTACTGACTTAAACCCTTGGTAAGACATAGTGTGGTCAGTTACTCCAGTTTGTGCGGCATTTCAGTTTAGTTTATACTGGCTCCTATTCAGTTTAAGCTCAAAGAACCATTGTTGCTCACATTTAAGGGTATCCACGTACAGGTTACTACTGGTTTAATTAAAGCCATCTAATTAAGTCAGAATTTTCACTGTCCATTAGCATTCTTTTACATCTGCATTTTGAGTTCTAAGTTTTTGACACTGGGGGCCTAAAGTCTGAAGTTAATGCATTGTCTGGAGGGAGCTGCTCAGTGCTTGGCATTTGCAATTCATGGACTGAGCCATTCATTATTCCCTTGCAGGCAGTGAGAACTGCAAATGGCCCATCACCTTGGAAAAAGTGAACATTATTTAGAAGCGTAAATGAAGATGCCAGAGGCTAACCTCAAGTCTTGCCCGAAACACAGACTGGCTTCTCTGCTCTGTAGCAATGGATTGGACACATCGTAGCAGAGAAATACCACATTTATCCTCAGCATTACATATTATATGCCCCAGAACCATCTTCCCTTTCATATTCCTCATACTCTCCATTCCTTTTCTGGCTTCTTCCTGATCCAGATTCTTCCTGGTCGTCCCTCCCTGACTGAAAGCTGAATCACTGAAATTCCTGCCCATTTGCTTCCTGCTAAAATGAGCCGGTATTTCCAAAAGCACCACTTCCTCCCACTGACTAATATAGTACAATATCCTACAACACAGGTTTGCTTTGCTTGCTGCATGTTCTGTTTTGTCCCACAATGCTTATAGAATCAAACAATTTAGTTACAAAGTAAATATGATAATATGTAGATCTTGATAGGTACATGCCATGTACAACAGCAAAGGAAAAATAAGTTGGGGAAAAAACAATAGAGAAAACTAAAAAGCTGAGACTGAGACTCCAGGACTGATGTAACAATTATCGATAATTGCTGAAAATGGTTGCTAGACATAATCTCTCTTTGCATAAAATTTGGACAAACAAAACCAAAACAAATATCCAAAACCAACCAAACAAAAAAACCCCCACAAACTCACCAAGGCAGAGATGGTAGAATGGCTTTCCTCGGTGGCAGGCATTTCCTAACAGACAGTTCTTGTGCCAGGAGAGGTTAAAACACGTGAAGATGGAGAGCTGTCCAATTATACAGAAGTGGAAAGATTAGAAAGGGATTAGAAAATGAGCGAGAAAGACAAGTGGATTGCAAGGAAATGCTTCACCTGATCACAAACTAAATCAGATGTATTTTAAATCACTGAAGTGTCTGGTGTAGGCTAGCTGTCAGCATGGATATGGGCATTTCAGCCATTTATCTCCATTGATTTTAGAAAAATGTTATGCTTAGTTTAGATAAGAGTCCTCTGGGAATCCTGATTAAAATGAAATTAATTCTATCACAGTTGTAGATATATTTTCAGTCAAAACTGGCCATTTCCAACGACCAGTCTCTTCTTTAAACTAACCTACATCACTTATGTAACACCCAGAGCAGAAGTGGAGAGATTGGTGGCAAAAACAAACTGGCCATTGATAAATCAGTTCGGCTCCTATGCAGCCTTCTCCTGTCCCTCCTTATGGACTGTATTCCAGTTCATTATCTTTCCTAGAAGTCACCACTTCATACTTGTGAACCAATCCCTAGTTACTACCACTTCATTCTTGTGAACCAATCCCTAGTTACTTCCACTTCAAACAGCATCTCCAGGTTCTGATCCAGAGATGCACCACTTAGCTATGGCCAGTAAAAAGGAGTTATATTTCAGCAGTATGTCATGTGCTGATATTAAAGATGAACAAAACTACCAAAACTAGGTTAAAGAGTTTTCACACTGGGAAACCATTTGGACATATAGCTCCTAGTACAGACTAGAGCTACTGATTATCTGCCATGCCCATGTTTGACTTGAACTCTCCTGTTATCGCTCAACCCAGTTGTCTCAAACTATGGCTAATGGATTTCTTTAGTATAATTCATTGGCACTACTGCATTTTGTAGACCTGACTAATCATGCACTGGCAGAAAAACATGAGCCGTGGTCTCCCAAAAGTGTTGTAAGTCCTGAGCTGTTGCTTGCTTTAAATTTATCACCAAAATAACTATTCTGAAAATTCTGCTGTCTATGGCAGGATAAAATATTTTTAAAATTTTTAACATATACATATCTTCAGGATAAAACCCCTCTTTCCTGTCCAAGCTCAGTTGACATGGAAATATACTTTGCCACATCTAACAGTTTCTGCATTTCAAATGCAGAGCTCTGTAAGGTGAGAGAAACAGTGTTGGGGGCAGGACAGGCAGGCTGCTCCACCAGGGAAGGCATGGAGGCCAGGAGCTGAGGATGACAACAATACTGCCTCATCGATGAGGTGTCAGGAAATTGAGATGATGAGTCCGGATCAGGAGCAGGTCTGGAGGCGGTGATCAGAGTCAGCCTCAGGCCACTGATCAGCCAGGAGGTCTGTGATGTTGAATCAGGTCTGAGACTAAGCCAGGGTGTCAAGGTCCAGGTCAGAAGGAGAAGGTCTGAGAGGAGGTGCAGACAACAGCTGCAAACCAAAGAGCGTTAACATAAAAGCAGCTCCAGAGGGAAGGAGGCTCTCTCTTCATTTCCTTTGCAACAGCTTTTACCAGTGAAGAGGCTGAGCTTGACTAAGGTGGCCAAACTCCTTGGAGCTGGGAGAGGCACTGATGGCTCTGAGAAGAGCTTATTGGGATAGACTGAAGGTCCATCTGTGATAGTGGCCAGCTGTAGTACTGGCTTCACCCTCTTTTATTGCCCTGCAAGCCAGGTACTCTCAATGAACAAGAAGCTCTGCTCCTAGCTGTCTTCTGTATTTTCTTCTCCTCTAATACCCAAGTAAAGGGAGGCAGAAACAAGTAGAAGAACCAGCACCACTATGGCTGCAGCCTTCCAACACCAAAATCAACAGTGTTAGAATTGCCACCACCAACTTCTGAAGTTTCACCTCTCACTGTTTTTGAGAAGAGACAAGGACTGCAACTACTGCCGCACCCAATACCTTAGTACAGCA